TCCGCCAACAACGAAGCCACCTTTGAAGAAATTAGGAACGTAATGTTAGCACACCCATTCTAAAAAAATTGATTATTTGCGTATAACGAATGTACCTTCAATTAAATTTTCCGTTATCACTATGCTATGCAAATATGTGCCCTTCATCATGAACCACGTGGCACCAAGAACCAAGATAACTACACCGGTAACCAAGTAAGATAACTCAAAGAAGGCGAAAGAAGCCAATATCGACTTGGTTATCGCCCGGTATTTTTGACGTGATTGTCGGTTTTCTGCCATGTTTTTTTATGTGAGATGTGTATGTTTTGTGTATGCAAATGAATGAATGGGGGTTTATACGTTCTATCTCGTCACTGTGTGCTCGCCACGGAAACGAAATTAAAAGAAACCGATGAATTCTTTATACAGTATTTTTTGGGATGGAGATGACTTTGTACAAATAAGGAGTAAGTTCGGAAGTGAAGAGAAAAGAAAAGAAGGTAATTTCCGAGTATAGTGAAGGGCAAAAGATAATAAGGTCAGCGATAGATGTACTTGATGACCAGCAACAAGAGAGGATGAAGAAAAAAAAAAAAAAAAAAAAAAATAGAATCCCAGGAGAAAGGATGTAAGAAAAGAGAAAAAGAAAGAGGAGGAAAATACGTACCTCTTGTATATGTTTTGCACGGACAACGCTAACTATACCGATGAAACAAGGAGTATGCAAGCGAGAACAAGGACGTGCAGGTGATAGTGAAATTCGATAGATTACACAGCAGTCGCCTCGCGAGGTCTTCAAAACCCTCGGGACGTGAATGAACAATATTTCGTTTTTTCTGAAGGTACTGCTTATTTATTGGCGAGCCAGCGCCGGATTTTTTTTTCTATGGTTAGCGTCAAAAGAGAAAAGAGTTAGACTCTAGGAAAATTCTCGAGATGAAATTTTGGTAATTAATGAGGTTTTATAATGTTTCAATAGTTGGTATCCCCTTTCCAAATATATACTTGTAATTTAAAATGTAAGGGTTTGCATTTGTGTGTGGGGCATTCAAGATATGCAAACCAATTACACTTCAGATCTTAATTAAGTGAACCCGATAAATCGGAATTTTTACATTTTTGGTCCTGAAAAAAGATCATCCTTTTCACAAATGAGGTAGTGAAAGTCCAAACTTGATCGACTTAATAAAGAATGTCGTTGCGAAAACGAAATTTCGAAGAATCAGGCCACACACACTTAATACGAAACTTGAGGGCGACCATAGGTTTCTAACGCTATGCGATTGAAATCATTAATTTCATTGATATTGTTAGTGTATCTTGTGTATCTTGTTTATTTCAGAAGATGAGTATTGTCGAACCTTGTGCGGTGTACGAGGGAAACTTGACCCGAGTAAAATTTTTTGTTTTTTATTAACTAATCAGAAAACGTTGGACAACGGCTGAGGAAGGGCCCATAGAGAGAGAAGGAATTCGAAATCATATTGGTTGAATATTCATCACCTAAGCGACGATCTTGAAACGTGGACGTACAAGATCT